CTCCAGAACCTTCGAGATCGACCTTACCTCAGCTGAGCAGTTAAAAAAAAGTTAAATTTCAGTAAGCTATTAGCGCTATTCCACTAACACACTAGTTTGGTGAGCCCAGGAAAAAAAACCTACATTTCGGGATACTCAAAGACGAGGCCCGCCCGCATGGACGTCAGCCACCGTAAAGGGGTGTGAAATGGATGAATCACATGCCTCGTGCCCTTTCTACGCACTTCCAAGTGGATAGTAGTGCATCTCGGCGCTAAAGACCACCCTACGCGCATACAGAAAAAGAGTACCTATATGGTTATCGAGCCACATGTTCAAACGTAAAAGTTAAAATCAGGAAAATGCAAGAATTCAACGAAAAGATCCTACCTTTGCTTGCTTATTCGGTTCCAATCGAATTAAGGTTCCAATCTGTTGCGTTTGCGTATGGATTATACCAGCACACAAATGGGGGGGGCGTAAGTTGTCAGGATTGGGATCAACATTGGGCAACAATTTCGCACCCAAACCATTCAGTTTCTGAGTGACAAGCGCTGGATCCATAGACACTTTCGCAGGAAAGATTTTCTGACATTCTTGTGATGGCTGACCAAGAGCTTTCCATCTGAATAACCATTCACTTGCAATGAAAGATATGAGTACAAATTTGAAAAAAAAGTGAAAATACCTGGCAAAGAACTGCTCAGACGGCATTTCAGTGGGCTCGAAGAACTTGTTGACGAAAACTGGCAGGTACACCGACTTATCAAAAGAGTGAGATTGACCAGTTCTATCCCTGAAAGAAGAGCAGATAATTTCCGATATCCTTTTTACTTGAAATTTTTTCTGCGGAAAAGCGTCAGCACCAAACTTAGGTAGTCTGCAAAAACCTACGTATAGCCGAATTTGATTTGCATAATAGGCATCCTTCCAAACTCCTGTACACATACAAAATTGATCAGCTGTTGCACCTGCGTGCCCGCTTGCACGATCGGATCCATTGGTTTTGCCTAACAATGAAACGATTGAAAAAAGACAGAGCGACAAATAATACACAGCGGTGCAAGGACAACACCAAGAGTATGCAGTAAGTATAAGTTTATTACGTGTGCATAAGGCATACGTGAGAAAAAAAGATCGGAACACATTACGTATACAAGTTCCAATATTGATATATTAGTTACAATTTTTCAAAACAGTAATTAACCAGCAAATCACCAACTTATCGACCAGTCTCAAGAGAGCTAGACCCACCATACCTCAATAACCTGTTGGAAATACGGTGTCTGAACTGAGCATGTGACAAAGTGGCAGGTATGGCTTTTGTTAACTTTGATGTTATTGATTATTGTTATTGATTATTATTATGTTATTATATTGTTAACATTGATATTATTTGATGTTGAACTTTTCACCGCACACGCTCGAAAATGTTGAGTTGTGTATTAGTGGCGGGGGGGGGGGGGAGGGAAGCAGAAAATCACGCAAAATGCTTTCTATAGGACCCCCTGCTGAACTCGCACGATAAAGTGAAGAAGGCGAGGTGAGACCCGTTCTTATTTGTTTATGTCAGCTCTATCTTTATCACCACATCCTCACCAAGCTCCTCCAAGGAGCTAATTGAAAATGAACGCTGGAATTTGCCGTGGCCAGCGGGCGAAGCCATGGCCTCGTCGCAACCGGGCTCTTTCCTCACGCACTTCGATCTGCGAAACTAGGAATCCCCAGTGCCTGCGGACAAGACTAATTCGTCCAAAGAAGACGTCCGCGCCTCAAATGAAGGCAGTGGGTACTTTCTGTGCTCAGAAAACGGGCTAAAATGAAGGCAAGTAACCGAATTTTCATTAAAGTCTAAGCGAAACAAAAGAACGAAAATCGCAGTGGTAATCATTGTCATATCACGTGAACTTGAGAGGGGCATAGTAGGTCAGCCCTTTGGTCAAGTGATGCGCACGACCACTCTGGTGAACAGTAAAGACTCGAAAATGAGGGAATGAAGAACGTTTTAGCGGCAGGGCCGCTCGATCTGGATTTGTGCATTAAATGGAGAAAGTCACCACACGGCTAGGAGCTATCATAAGTTCGCCTATGCATAGCTGGGTTCAAGCCGCTGCTAGGAAAACTGATGTTCTTGCAGAATAAAGGAGTTGAGAGCTATTCCGTGGCTGTCTATCAGGATTCATTGGGAAAAGAAAAAAAACGTATTAAATGAGACTGAAACAAGTTGTCAAACATTAGTGGTCATCTTCAGAGTGTGGTAGAAATAGTGACC